CACTTCGATTGATCACTTTTATACAAGTTTTCGAATTATTTTAGCGAGAGCTAACAGACGCAGTGTAGACTCAGTGACAACCGGACAACAAATCCTACAAAATAGTACAATTGTTATTAAAAAATAATGGAGTCCGGTCCTGTATTTTAATAGCTTTTGGCGCCGTAGCAAGTGATAAAAACGTCGACTGTGAATTGTGGTTTAAATGTTAGTCGATTGACGCCAGTAAATCGATGTCATAGCTCGTTATGTTCCTACACTGGAAATATCATTTGTCAGGTATTTCCAGTAATTCCTGGCAAATAGCTAAACGTGCGGAATGCCAGGTACGCTCTAATAGAGTGACCAGGTTTATTTTTTTAATTTCACTCTTATGACAAGGTTGGATATGTGGCCAGTATTTAATTATGTATATATTTAATTATAATAAATATTAATAGAGATTTTTTAAAATAAATCAGATTGAATTCAAATTGCAAATATAATTTCAATTGACTGAATAGTTTATTGAACTATATCGTATTTAATTAACATTGAATAGTAAGGAAAATGAATGAATTATATGAACATAAAACAAACATTGTTATCTGTTGCCTAATATTTGACAATAAAAATATTTCCTCAAGTCCGTGAAGACATAAGTGAAGAATTTAAAGAAGTATTTTAATAATTTTTTTGCCAATAAAGATAAAAGTTATATTGTTTAGCATTTTAAAAAAATATTTAAGCCATCTTTCTTCCGGGACTCCTTCCGTGTGGAATTTTAAAAAAAGTAAGTACCCTATGTGTTCTTCCAGAATATCCCCTACATCTATACCAAATTTCATAGAAATCCGTTCAGCCGTTTAGGCTACAAACTCTAACAAACATCCATCCATCTAAACTATCGCATTTAAAACATTAGAATGATGTGAATATTCTTGGGAAGATTAATTATGTGCATGTTATTTAATAAATGAAATATTTATTTGTATTAATCTAATTCAAGGCAGTTTATTTTCAAATCATGAATTAAACATGGCCGCCACACTCGACCTGTCAATTCGCTGTCACACGAATACAGATTATTAAAATCGATATTAATAAGTCATCGTTTATTATAGTTGTGTGTGTTGTAATAATTTAGATGTAACGTTTTGACAACAATAACAAAGCTAACGCCCATCCCATGGGTAGGCAGAAATAAAAATATTCCAAATGAATTTTGACCTTCAAAACTTGTAATTTATGTCAGGACATCTACAATGTCACGCGAATAAACTGTCATATTTAAAGATAAGGTCTGTCGAAGCGAATGCATATCAATAATTAGTGGTTGACCATAGTCCCAAATTGTGCCACAAATTATTTTGCATGTTGATTAAATTTCAAATAGGATGAGCTCAAACATTTGAATTCTAACGAAATATGGTAAAAATAAATAGTACAATAGTATAATAGTACCCCCTTTTAAATCTATAGATACTAATAGTATAAAGAGGAAAAATTTGTAATTTTGTATGTAATAGAAATAAATAAAAAACTACTGGGCCGCTTTTAAATTCTTTCACAGTCAGTAAGGTAATTTATCTGTGAGTAACAGAGGTTATATATTTTTATTTAATTTTCAAATTACGCGGGCGAAGTCGCGAGCAACAGCTAGTACATTACAGCAAATTGCAACGATATCTTTGCCTACGAATAATTTACTTTAGATTTGCTCTTATTTACGTAATTCAGCAAACGTCATGTTTCAATTGATCGCTGCATATTTCAAGCGATTGTACAATTGGCTAAACGCATGAATTTCTTACTACTGTAACAGTACTGGGATAAACTGACTGTCACTGGCGTTGTGCAATCAACTTCCAGAGTCGGATTTAGTAATATCGGAGCCCTGGGCTGTCGCCCCATCGCGTTCAACCCGAACGCAAACTTTGCTGGTCACAAGCGTAACCGTTGTTTAAGAGTAGCTGTTGCTCTCGACTTCATCCACGTGATTAATAAATAACTAAAAGTATGGCCTATGTTACTTACTGATAACGTAACGTAATGGTGAAAGAATTTTTGAAATCGGCCCAGTAGTTTTTGAGTAATTTTAAGACATACAAAAATACAAATCTTTCCTCTTTATAATATTAGTATGTAGATTTATGACTTCAAATCAAACATATTTACAAAGATTGTTAAAACAACATTTTAGTTAATCTTAATTTGTTTCATTGTGTTTTTCTTTTGTTTTTTAGCGATTCTTAGAAATAAATTTATAATTCAATTAAAAAACATAACCTTTACGTCACAAATCAAATTAAATTATATTACTATAGGTACAGTTCCGATAGTTTTTAATAAGCAAACTTGTACATAGATATTAAGTTAGTGAAATTATGTGCGTAACTTATTCAACGCATCCGCAACATGTCACGTAATAGCATAAGATGCTGCAACATGTACAATGAAGCGCGATGACTATACCATGCATCACTCGATGACGTATCATTACTAATAAATTCACGTAAATAAAACATCGGGAATCACTTGTGAAGTTAACAGAAATAATTGTTGTAACTTTATTAATAGTACGGCCGTGAATTTGGCGTCAAATCGTCAACGTAGGGTGACCATGATGAACAGGACAACTATGATTTATTTTCGCTTTAATAATATTAATTGACTTTAAAAATAATTTACAAATACACTATTTATGACATTGATTTTTAGACTGATTTAATTTTGAAATTTGTAAACTCTAAGACTTTTATAAAAGTCCGTATCCCGCAAAGTAAGTATAGATTCCTTTTATAGTAAACCACAACTTATAAAACTATGTCACAAATAAGTAATGTAATAAATATGCGATAATTACATGGTCAATGACTACTAACGTAAATTTCCAGATATCACTAAGTATATAAGGAAAACTTATACCTTATTAAATAACATAGAAGTAGTAAATGATATTTGTTGTTCTAATCCAGTGATTCCCAAAGTGGTCTATAACGACCCCTAGGGGGCGACAACCTGCAAGGGGTCTACGTCTGCGAGAAAAAATTTGGGGGTCCATGAAATGAAAATAAGGGTCCACGATAGTATAACACATACACTAATAGTACCTATTCACTTCCATCATACTGTCTTATCATTCAAAACATATGCATTATTTACTTTGAGTAGTTTTAATTTTAATTCAATTTATAAAAGTATAAATTAACATGTGTTTATACTGTAAGTTTTTAACACTAAACTTCCCTACAGTTTACTAATTTACAAGAAATCAATATCAGGTAAGTAGGGGGTGTACCCGACACGGAAAAATAAGGCAAGGGGTCTACGATACAAAAAAGTTTGGGGAACTATGTTCTAATACATCTATACAAAGTATTATTATTCATCACATACCATAATTAACTGTCATCATCTGTCTTCATGTCTTGCTGTTGATTAATTCTGATGGATGGACTTCGGAAAGGAGAAAATTTCAAACACCTTAAAGATAAGATCATCGTCTGATAATTGCATCCTCTATGCGACATTTAATACACAATAAAAGTAAAGTATATCTATACTAATATGATAAAGAGGAAAGATTTAGATTTTTGTTTGTATTGAAATAACTCAAAAACTACTAGGCCGATTTTAAAAATTCTTTCACCGTTAGATAAGTAATTTATCTGTGAGTAACATGCGCTATCTTTACATTTTCATGCGGACGAAGTCGCTTGATTTAAAACCTTGTAAACGATATAAAGAAATTCTTATCATTGTAATAGATTACAATTTAATCCTTTATTAGATTAAATAATTACCCTATAAATACATTTTCATATAGTAGACCTTTGTCATTTTAAATAATAATAAAAGAATAAAAAGTGTCTTTTTTATTTAAAAAGTTTCTGTGTACAAGATATTTTAGGTTTCGGGGAAGGCCTGTGTATAGTAGAATAATTTGTCCCAACACTCTGATGACTAATGATGAATGAACAGGACTTATCCGTGAAAGTGTTTAAATCATGGTTGTACTACAAAGCCGGCGCCACTGGCCGTTTCTGAAGATATACCCGGCGCGTCCCAAAATCTGGCGTCAGTTTTGCGCGCGCGCACCCACAGTTGACTTGTTCGTTCTGAAACACTTATATGTTTCGATTAATATTTTAGACAGTGTTGTGCTGTGATTGTGTTTGTTTTTAAACAGTATACGGTAATTAATTTTTTAACATTATAAAATATACGAACTTTGATAATTGACTTCTTTTATCTTGCTGTTTTAACATCATAGTAAATTCTATAAAATTATGCAAAAAAAATACTCATTTTTTTTTTCTCACATTTCAAGAATCGAAATTATGAAATTAAAAAAATCCAAAATGTCATTTCATAAATAAATTTCAAAAATTATCATAATTTTTAATGTAAAATAATTCGTACAAATTGTTGAAAACATCAATCCGTTTTTTTTAATTTAACTCAAAACTAAGTGTAGATTTCTTCTAGATGTAATTCCTAACTTATTCATTCATAACACGCGTAGCACGTAATCGTATGTATTAACACTTAACGTGCTTTTCTTGCCAAAGCTTTCACTGGAATTATAAAACAGGATAGGAGCGTCGGTGGCTCAGAGGTTGCACTTGACTTGTATTATTTATCCTGGGTTCGAATTCCGCCAAGTAAAAATGTGTTATTCGATTTTCAAATGTCATATTTAAATAATTTACCCAACGTTTTTACGGTAAAAAAACGTAAGCTCTGCACATATCGACGAAAATTTCAACGATATGTGTGATGTCAACTCGCAGTGAGCCAGCATTGACTATGGCCTAGGCATCCCTAACTTCGGATAGGCTCTGAGCACCTGCGTGGGAAATTACAAACTGATGAATATGCCAGACGTATTTGCATATCCATTTTATAGACATAAACAATAAGAATTAAGAGATTACATATGTTCAAAAACCAAAATTAATTATAACTAATTTACAATAATTTCATACATCATTTTTATATATGTCTAACGGTTTGGACAGCGTAAGCCGAGAAAAGTTAAAAAATTATAATCTTTAACGTCGGGTCTAGAAACAGTTTATTAATAGTTCTTCAACATTAGTAATAATAAAATGTAGCCAATGTTACTCACAGATAAATTACCTTTTTGATAGTGAAAGAATATTTAAAAAAAAAAAAAAGTTTTTGCGTGAATCGAATACATACAAAAATACAAATCTTTCCTCTTTATATCATTAGTATTAATAGTTTCATGGAAACAAACTCACTTTTATTTTTTATTTATTCCAATTATAATTAAATTCACAGAAGATAAACCTTAGGGGAAGTACCGAGATTACATCTGTAGCCTATAATTATGTATTATTGTTAGGTTTAAACGTAGATTTAATCTGTAGTCAATGATAGTAAAATGCATAACCGTTTAGATCATCGACAAATGCATGCACGGTTAAAAATAATTCGCACGCTAAACATACTATGACATAATCTATTACTATGGCTTCTTGGCCACTCAAAGACTCGATTTTCACAACGATTCGAAGCGGAAAATTTGTGATATACATGTTGCCCGCGACTCCGTTCGCATTTATTAAAAAAAACTTCATTAGTAGTCTTTGTGTTAAGCTGTTCTGGAGATATGCCGTAACAATCATCCATCCATTAGTAAGATAAGCGGACTTTCACAGCGCCTTTGACAATGAACAAAAATCAAACTGAATTTTTCAAATTTTACAGTTATTAGTATTATTTTTTGTTTACAGAGACTGCTAGCGACATGATCTTATCTAATACTAGCTTTCGCCCAAGACTTTGTCCGCGTGAAATTAAAAAAAAAACTAAGTAGCCTCCTAACTTCCAGACCATACTCTACATCTATGCCGAATTTCATCGAGATCCGTTCAGCAGTTTAGTCTACAAACTCTAACAAACAAACATCCATCCATATAAACTTTCGCATTTATAATATTAGTAAGATAAGAAATAGTAAGAAGTAAGACCAAACTGCTGAACGGATCTCGGTGTTATTTTGCATATCCTCTAGTCTAAAAGAACACAGGCTACTTACTTTTTTTTAATACCACGCGGACGAAATCGCGGGCAGAAACTATTTGATACTGATTTAAGTACATATTTTATCATAAACATTCTTTTGTTTTAGATAATTTCTATAAAATGGAACCTTTGCAAGTGGATGTTGTTCATTTCTACCCTAAAGAGAACGCGCAGCCACACAATACTATCAAGTGAGTAATGTATTGAAAACAACAAATCAACATCTCCCCTACTTTATCCTATTTATTCCGTGTTGTCGACGCATCGTGTTTGGTTTTTCCAAACACAAAAAGGAAGATTATTAGATTTGTGATTGTTATTTCCATGGCTCGTTGGTCTAGGGGTATGATTCTCGCTTCGGGTGCGAGAGGTCCCGGGTTCAAATCCCGGACGAGCCCATGTTACTCTAGCGTAAGCATGCAAACCATTCTTTTACTTTAACAAAGATCTAAAAGATTACTCTTTTCTCTATTTTAGCTGGTAGTCATTTTCAATCTGATTTGGTATGTCATGACATAGGACTTTCTTTGACTTTTAAGTTTTTTTTTTTACTTTCTGACTCAATTTGATCAATTCTACGCTCACTAAAGCGTTTAATCTTATGAGAAGTTAATTTACTTGTATAAATGGTTAGAATTCTAATTATTGTACAAACAAAGCAATAAATCAGTTTTTTTTCAATTTTAATTGCATTTAATTATATTGTCGGTAATTTTTATTATGCCTCAACCGGTTTATTTAACGACATATTTTATTCCGTCAACCCGAGGATAATTTAACAAGAGAATTCGCCACCTGGCGCGTAGTGCTTGTAACTTTAGATAACCTAGTATGCTATTGGGTTGATTTTTATTCGACTCATGTTGCAAATGCTTTCAGCAAATCGCCTCCTCAATCTCGAAGTCTTCAACATATATACCAGTTTCATCTTTCTCCTTATCCTACTCCCGTAAGGTCGACGCAACAGGTTTTTGTCCTCCAAATAAATCTATCATACGTCATCTCAGTCATCACTCCGTTTTTGATTATGTCACCTATTACGCAATCCATCCATCTCTTTCTAGGTCTCCCTCTACCGGTATACCCTCCACAACCATAACTAACGTTCCCCTTGTATCATGCGATTCATCCCTCCTCATACCATGCTATGCTAACCTTTTACTTCTTACCTTCTCTACCACTAGGGCTGCTATCAAAATATATACAAATGTCATCATCTATTTTACACCCTGTATTATTACTAGTCTATTGTGACATCCTGTAGCCTCAGTCTCACAGTGGTAGTTGTACTCAGTATGTATTATGTTTCTTTTTTTATATCATCTATGACTTTTTTCTTTAGATTTGAGACGGTGAACGATGAGAATCCTACAACAACGATCGTGCGTCGCGGTCAGCCGTTCAACGGTGTCGTTCGTTTCACGCGGCCTTTTGATGAAAATGAAGATATCGTGCAACTTATGTTCACACTTGGTAAGTTTGAAGATTTAGGAATATAGTTGTTGTTTTAATATAAGGTGGCAAACGAGCAAGCGGCCACCTGAATCCACCGAAATGGAAAGCGACCACTGCCCACAAACATCCGCAATTGCAGATGCGTTACCCTTAATTGACGGAGGAGGAGACGCACATAAAGAGGACATTTCCCCTTCCTACGCGTCTCCTCCGCCGGCAAATCCACTTTTCCTTCCCATCCTTAACGTAACGATATGTAACATTGTTGCTCTTGTACGAACGTTTTTACGCAATGTCTTGTCCTGCACAGGTGATAAACCCCAGATGGACACACAAGGCTCGATGTTCATCCACCGAGACGCCATCACCGATAAGCACACTTGGACCGCGAAGCTTCTAGATGTGCAGTCAGACACCGTCTCATTTGAGGTCAGAAACTATCTTCTTAGTATCACCCTAATACAGGTCACACACATGTGCAGTTAAAGGTGACATGTGATACCTAACGTGTGTGACCTGTCTTAGATATAGTAACTATTCAATGCAAACAAATCTTTCATTTAAAAATATTTTATTAGATAGATTATAGGATATATAGATGATGAACGAGATAGCTCTTGTTCTGTCGTAAGACGATGTAAGGTAATAAAAATGTACATTTGCTTTACCCATATAGGAGTACAGAAATGCGATTTGCGATTTTGATGGTCGAAGCGATTTTAAATCCAAACTTCGTTGAATACAAAATGTGTATAGTAAAATACATTAACTTTAAAAATCCAACCAAATAATAGTTACTTCTAACCTTTAAGATGGACGGATAAAATTCGACCTTGCTATAAATATGAAACTGAAGTCAACTGAAATACAATTCCGTTAAAGGAATATTAAATCCTAATTACAGATTCATCGCGGCTCCTATTGATATTTTTTTTAAAACAATTTAAGCACTTTACACAGACTGTTTATAGATATCATACTAATATTATAAATGCGAAAGTTTAGATGGATTGATGTTTGTTAGAGTTTGTAGCCTAAACGGCTGAACGGATTTCGATGAAATTGTGTACAGATGTAGAGGATAGTCTAGAAGAACACATAGGCTACTCACTTTTGTTTTTTTTAATTCTACGCGGACGGAGTCGCGGGCGAAAGCTAGTTTTGAATAAACTATCGCACAACTGCTGTACTATTGTCGCTTGTTTCGCAGCCAATTCAACTGTTTAGTTGCACAACTACAAATGGAGTAGTGTGCGCACCTCTATATGTTTCATAGCAATCAAATCGAGACTACAGTTGTGGGATAGTCTAGTCTTTCTTGCCTTTCTTGTCTGTCTTTTCTTTGTAAATGTTCCATTTATTGGTAGAGTTTATTAAGGATTGTTGTTCCACTACCCATTTAAACTTGCCCTCAATCTATACTTATCTGTACTTATATTATAAAGATAATGTATAGAAATAACTCATAAACTAGGACCGGTATTTTTACTATTTTGTTAAATTTCACGCGGGCGAATCCGCGAGCAACAACTAGTTATTAATAAGCATAATTCAACAACTACTATACTTAATAAATTTTTCGTATTTCTAACTCAAGGTTATATAATTCAGAATGGAAGATAATGAATGTCTTGTTTTAACACATTTTCCTTCATAATTAACAAAAATGTTTCCTGTTTATTTACCAATTATTTTTGGTAATAACACGACGTTTATTTAAGTGTATTTAAGACCAGACGAAATAAAATTCCGTAGCTTGAAAACCACATTACTCGTAATTAAAATAATAATTAGGTTTTCCCAAAAAAAGGTTATAATATAGTTTGTCTTAATAAGGAATGGTTTGATGATGCATTTGACAACTCACTAGGGATGGGTAGTGCAAAATCAGGTATTAATCTTTTCGATTTTCACTCTTATAGTAGTTGGAACCGATAGATTCATAGTTAAAACTCATGAATTAAAAAAACCCTGTTTTCTCAAATTAATAATGACCTGCAGAACCATTGCAAATAATGAGTGTGAATAAACATTTATTACTATTACAGCCGTACGTAATCGAATTGGATTTTGCTATTATTATTGTCGTCATTAAATTCTCTACATTATAATGAATATTAGAATTGTCTTCTAAGTAATAATTTTAGTTAAGTTCAAACAAGAAGTTCAAGTAAGACAAACGCGGTTTGCGGACAGACAGACAAAAAAATTTAAACACGATTTTCGTTATCAGCAACGTAAATACGAGTACATCATCTTCCCAAAATCTGGAATATTTCTTTTGATATTAAAAACAGACGCTCCAATTTTATTACATTTGCAAATAAACATATACGGACTAAACTTTGGACCGTCTGTGTTTGTTTAGTCTCTAAAAGTAATTCGTCCGGTCAAGGTGCGGTCTAAAAGCGGACGCGCGAACATAGTAATTTGAATATTGTCATTTATATGTAAAACGAGTAACTAAATATCCTATTTTATTATATTTTTCCTTCATCTTATTGGCTTATTATTAGTACGCAGCGATTTAATTAATAGTTATTTACAAATCCGGTTTTTAAGGAATAAAAAAATGTCTCATTTTTCACTTTAATTGTATAAATAATACAATGTATAAAAAGTGAATTATTGAAAACAGGTCAAAAAAGTAGTTACATTTGTCGGTAGATTTATAGAATAATTTTAATTGTACTATTAAGAATAAATCGGTACCGTGCCGGAGAGTCCAACACTAGATCACACATGGCACACTATGGCACACACGTCCCGTCTCTATGACATCTGTCAATGTCAATCAGAAGTAAGTATAAGCGCGCCATTCCTGGCGGGAATCGGTGGATTGATCAAAATAAACATTGTTTGTGTTACGATTATAGTAATGTCTAAAAGTACGTACATTTATTTTAAATCCAACTCGTTAATGATTAAAATGTTTACATTTAGTTTTATAAATCATTACTCTCAGATAAATTTCTTTTCTAATTGTGAAAGAATTTTTTTAATCGGTCCAGAAGTTTTTGAGTTATTTCAATACATACAGAAATGCAAATCTTTCCTCTTTATAACATTAGTATAGATAACCAAATGTCCTTTCTAAACTTGTTTAAAGTTTAAAAAGTATGTATGAAGTCTTAAGTCTCGATATTCAAATCACATATCTCTGCTAAAATTTGCATATTGTTTATTTATTAGCGAGCTAACAAAAAAGACCAATTATTAAAATTCAGTCACGTTTAGGCAAAAATGTACAAAAAAACAAACGTAATATTCCGTAATTGGATAATAAGTATGGAAAACTGGTCTCAATTAGGTAGCATTATTTTTTATACAGTGCTATTCAAACTTTAGAAGAGTACGCGATTTATCAAGAGATATATATAGTGTACTCAATACAATGTCAACAAAACGGAGCTTTAGATATCAACGATTCAAACGCTCCTACCCACAGTGGGTCTGTCTATCGCCTACTCAGCAAACGTGTGCTCATAGCTAGCACAAGCTGTTATAAAGTGTGAATCTTTTAATACCTGGAGAAAAAAAGTCTACCTAAAACTAATTATTATTTGAAAGTCACGGAAGAATTTTGATTTTTTATTATAATGCTTGTAGGTGTCCACACCTGTCACAGCTCCCGTAGGCTCCTGGGCACTCCGCGTTATCACCAGACTGAAAAGTTCATCCACCAAGGCCTTCTATGACTTCGACCAGGATATCTATATTCTATTCAACCCATGGAACCCTGGTACGTATGGCATTTTTTGATCAATTCTAATTTCTGACAGCAAGTTGCAAATAATCTATTGTACTCTTCAGATGACCAAACGTATATGGAAGACACTGGTCTGCTGCAAGAGTATGTTCTTAATGACGTGGGTAAAGTGTGGGTGGGACCGATCAAGACCACGCGTGGGAAACCCTGGTTTTACGGACAGTTTGATGCCGCTGTACTGCCGGCATGCATGTTCATGCTTGACAGAGCTGAAATGCCATTCCACCAGTGAGTAAAGTCTGTTGTTAATCTTACAAAAAAGAACCATACAATTACACACCTTGAAAGGAAGGACGCCTTAACTTCTCTTGCATGATCTCCACATGTTTACTCTTTCGTGCATCTACCTTACCACACCTTTAATGGAGAATAAATTACACGATTCATGCATGTAGTATAGCTTAGCTCCTTTCCTATCGTTGTATATTAAAAGATCAGTAATTTCCAATTCTATATTCTTGCTCTCTTGCAATTGCAATTCTTTTTAGACGTGGCGACCCCGTGAAGATGGCGCGTGTTATATCCCGTATCGTGAACTCTAACGACGACGCGGGTGTGCTGGTCGGCCGCTGGGACGGGGAGTACGAGGACGGGACCGCGCCTGCTGAGTGGACCGGCTCTGTCGATATCCTCGCCCAGTACTTGGAGACGCAGCAGGAGGTGCCTTACGGACAATGTTGGGTCTTCGCTGGAGTTGTCACCACGGGTGAGATATTACTAAGAAATTTAAAATGTCTATTTACATTATATGCCAATGGCTAAAAGGGAACCGAATATTACAAGAACAATGAAGATAGTTAAAGTCAAAGGTTATCGATGTTAGCGGCCAAATAATTGTAGCTCTAGTTTAAAAACTATGCAATAAAATTATCTATAATAATTATAAAACACCGCTTAACTTACCGGAAAAAGCGAACAAAAGCGGACGGGTTTAATATTGGTCTGTGCCTATACCGAATTTTTCAAGGGATTCAAGCCGTGTTTATTTTATTAAAATACGAGTAGTATAATATCTAAAGTTAGTTTTAATAAGGTAACTGAATAATCTCTTTTCTATCCAGCTTGCCGCGCGCTCGGTATACCTTCCCGTGTCGTCTCCAACCTTGTATCAGCTCATGACGCTAACAGCTCCCTGACTGTGGACAAGTATTACACTGAGACTATGGAGGAGTTGGATTACGATCCAAACAACGTTAACGGAGCTGACTCCATCTGGAACTATCACGTGTGGAACGATGTCTGGATGGCGCGACCTGATCTACCACCAGGTCTGTATATCATGGACGTTATAGATATATTTTTTATGTCATTAAGCGGCGAACGTCCAAGCGACCACCTGAATCCGCCAAATTTGGCGAATCTGCCCATAGACATTCGCAATTGCATATGCATTGCCTACCTCTAATCGACAGAGGAGACGCACATAAAGAGGATATTTCCTCTTCATATATAACTTCACTGTGAAATTCAGTTTCCCTTTCCATCATTTTCTTATAAGAATAGGTGGAAAGGGAAAGGGACTAAAATTAAGCCTCCAGTATACACGCTCATCAGACGTAACGCGGAATTGCTCCAACTTCACGACAGTCTTCTGTGTGGTCGTTGGATTCTAGCGAGCAAGCCGAACCATTCTTCGGAAGATGTTAAAGCGGGCTCTACCACTGTTACAATGCCATGTTAATAATCTCAGGTTACGGTGGCTGGCAAGCAATAGACGCGACACCACAAGAGACATCATCAGGACTGTACCAATGCGGTCCAGCGCCACTGGAGGCCATCAAGCAGGGTGTCATCGGTCTAGGATATGACGTGGAGTTCATGCTGGCGTCTGTCAACGCGGACCTCATGCGCTGGAGGAAAGACCCTGACGCGGAGACTGGATTCTCTATGGTCGACACTAATAACTACCAGTGAGTTTTATTCGAGGGAATCTTTTTAAAACAACGAAAAACATTACTTTCTGGTTTAAAAAAGCACACATGTTACCTTACCGTTCAAGTATTGATAGTTTACCGGAAATAGATATTTTTTTTCTGATACTGCGTCATTCCTTAGGAAATTAACGGATTTTTTTCCCATCAAAACCGCACAAATGGCATTATTATTTTATGTTACTGAAGACTGGTTGTAACTTTTTAGATGTTAGGTAATTGCACATTGTTTTTCTTTCTATGAATGTTGTGTTTGCCTATAAATGAAACATTTTAAAAACAAACTAGCTTTCGCCCGCGACTCCATCAGCGTAGAATTGAAAGAAACAAAAGTGAATAGCCAATGTTTTCTTCCAGACTATGCTCTATATCTATGCCAAATTTCATCGAAATCCATTCAGCCGTTTAGGCTACAAACATCCATCCATTTAAACTTTCGCATTTATTATATTAGTATAATTTTAACTAAGATTCAACCATTAACATGTTTTGTTGCCAATCCTATATAAAAAAAAAAACTTTAATTTCCTATAAAACAAAGTGACATTTTCCTAGCATCGGGCGTATGGTCCTCACCAAGAAGCCGTACGTGTTCGATCCTCTGGGCGACGAGGACAGACAGGACATCACGGGCGAGTACAAGCACCGCGAGGGCACCGCCTCCGAGAGACTGGCGCTCATGAACGGAGTGCGCTACTCCGAGAGGGCTAAGAGGTGAGTCTAATATATATTAATATAAAAAAAAAGTAAACACACACTTCTTTGTGGCGTAAGATGTCAATTACAGTATATTTTTAAATATTTTTTTCTTTAATAAAAAGCCCTACACTTACGTCATACGTTCGGCTATATATTTTCACCCTATTAAACTTAGAGGGTAAATGATTTGGCAAAAACCTTCATGCGGGAAAGGGACCATAAACTACAAGCTGCCAACATTAAGGAAGCAAGGTTATTAATGTTACGGTTAGATTTACACACATTAGATTTTTTCATATGGCAATAACTAAAAATCAATCGTTTTCCAACCTGGCAACATGACAGGTACTACGCGATAGCTGGCAACCTCAGCAACGAGATCACATTCAAGCTGAGGGACATCGACACGGTGCCCATCGGACAGAACTTTAGGGTCACTGTTGATATTGAGAATACCTCCGGAGAGGTATGTGACCTTAGTTTCCTCTACTAAAACATTAACAAAAAAATTACCGTTTCTGTTTTTGTATATGCACGTTTTAGGCATGTAGAAATAGTTAAAACTTAAAAAAAGAACTAAACCCTTGATCATAAATAAATTCATTTTGATGTATTAATTATTCTTCAGTTAGTGGTTTTTTGACAAAGCACAGAAATGTTTCTTATTTAGTTATTTCACTAAAACTCTGACTGTTTTTTAGGGCCGTAACATAAAAGCAGCGCTGTCGGCGACCAGTGTGTTCTACAATGGTGTTAAATCAGAGGTTGTAAAGAAGGTGGAAGGAAAAATCTTTGTAGGACCAGGGAAACGTAAGTTGTGTAAATTCTTTAAATTAAGTATTTTAGATTCCTTTGACGCCAGTGAAATAAGCAGATCCCCCCCTCACCTCGCCTTGAAAAAGTTTTAATGCTAAGTAATCTATGTGTAATTGGTAGGCGAAGAAATCAGTATCTCAGTGGCAGCCGACGAATATCTACCCAAGCTGGTAGAGTACTGCAATATGAAGATCTCAGCAATGGCTATTGTGGACGAGACCAAGCAGTCGTGGGCCGACGACGACGACTTCCAAGTGCTGAAGCCTAACATCGATATTAAAGTAATTACACTTAGATCGTTACAGCTTGCAATAGTCAAACAATATACATACTTGTAGAGGGGCATCTATAAAATACATGGGCTCATAAATGTCCAAAATGATATGACAGGTGACAGCTTTTTAACAGTATATAACAGAAGGGCGTTAGTGAGCTGACATAATTTAATTTGACATATTCTCATGTCAAACGACTTGTCCATGATCAAAACTCTATTTTGAACTGTCAAAAAATCATAGACAATATTTTGACATAGCAAAGTGTTGCCATAATAGTTCTTATTCCCCATTTATTTGCAGTTTAACGAGGACCTGATCATCGGCCAACCGAGCTTAGCGGTTCTATCTTTCATGAATCCGTTAAACCGCGCGCTGTCGGGCTGCGAGTTCCGCATCACGTCGTCCGGCCTGGAGGGACGCACGACGCGCATCGCCGCGCCCGACACCGCCCCGCGCGCGCTCGTCACTTCACAACTACCCTTACAACCTACGGTAATCAGTTTCCTACTTTTTAATACTGACAAAGTCCATAACTTTTGCAATAGGCTCGACCTGTGCAAAACCGTCATAAAGACACCCTTCAAGTGTTCCTCGTGAAGTTTTAGGAGTGTGCGTGCCTGATCTAATTTTATTTTCCGCTTTCGCTTTCTAACCTTTTCTTATAAAGGATGGGGAGGGCAAGGGGATTTTACAGAAGGAAGACTCAAGTAAGGGAATTATTTTGCGTCCCCTTTTCTGTTGATTAAAGGCAACACGAGGCAAATGTGAAACGGTAACTTCTCTATTTTTAAACGAATTTCAGTGGGCATAAGCTCTTTGCCACCTTTTAGTATAAGTCGAATTCGATCATTAGTTGTGACTAAAGGGACCACGATTTAAAACATTACGGAATAAAGACACAAAGATTTCCAGTTGTTCAACAATTTACATCTTTTACAGAAACTGGGGACCATAAATATTATTGCAACATTCAAATCTGTCGAACTGAAGGACATCACCGGAGCGGCGAGCGTTGAAGTCTTGGAAGGATAAATTAGTTTGCATTAAGACTGCTTCACAAAAAATGTGTTTAAATATTGTTATAATTATTATCTACTTTTTGTATTTAAGAGTAGATTTTTTTTATTTTTTTACGTGATAATTTTTTATTGTATTTATTATGCAAATACGCCGTATGTATGGCAACATTTATTGCAAAAGGTAGCTTTTACTCAGATTTAAGCTGGTTATTAAACATTTATATGTAAGTTTCAGAGATTATATTTTTATACGATTTAGTTATTCTATTGGAATAAATATTACAATTTTTAAAATGTTTTTTTTTCTATACTTTTTCCATTCCAAATGGCCAAAGTCGAATGGTTCATTAAATTGCATTTTTCCGTACTATATTTTAATGCGTATAAAAATACTTAATGATATATTTTACAGATTAAAAAAGAAAACAAACAAATCAGAAACAAAAGTTTATTTCAATTCCATGCAATGTACACATTTTGTTTAACAATCACTGCAAAATGTACTTGTAAGATCACTGACCTCTAAAAATGGACAGGCTATAAGGAATTCAGACACAAAACACTATTTTAATTCCGCCATTTTGGGGCTGACGGTTGCGTTTTACCAGTAGTAAGGATTCCAACTAATTATAAATACAGAATCCATATACAGACGGATATAAACAAGAATATTAAGGGCCTGTCTGATAACTGAATGTGTGTTTGTAATGGAAATATCGGATTTTGCTACTTTATCTGACAATGACGTCATTTTTAAGCTATACGAGCCTCAATCGCCAGTGGAACAGGTCCTTAGCCCGATAAATATGCAAGAGACACGACATTAAGAAAAAATCAAAACAAGAGGTCGCTCCTTAGCTGTTATACATTTGACTCATGTCTAACGGATTAAATGTCGGTTTCAGAACGAATCAAAGACGTTTTCAAACAAAGCCTACCCATTTATTGAGATCAGTGTTGGTTTACACTGCGCTAACACATCCAACTTTAAGAACAAGTAACAAATACAATGTACAATATTACCAATGTTCATTAACAGGGAAAATAAAGAATAGATTTCCATAAAACTGTTAAACTAAATTATGCGGTATATGGTAACTTTATGTAACTATCGGCCGAATACTGAAACGCCATTTCATACAAGCATCCTAAAGATAAGACCACGCTTAAACTCTATAATCCTTACTTTTGAAGTCTATAAGATTTTAAACGGAAAGTAAGCGAAGTATCTAAATTCATTTCAGTATTTGGCCGTGTCACCGTCATTTTATGAACCTGTTATTGTAGTCTACTAACGATTTCCAGAATGTTCTTAAAAGAACATTTTGGGTAAAGTGTATTTAGTAGAAGGTGTGGTTATTTACGATAAATATTTCTATCCGTCGTTTTTCTCGATTAGAGGTAGGCCGCGTGTCTGCAAATGCAGATGTCTATGGATGCCGACCTCTTCGCTATTATGGCGAATTCAGGTGCTTTATCGTTTACCACATTGTATTTGTATCCGCTTTAATAAATATTTGTTACTTAACTAGTAAGTTAATAAATTGTCGATATTCACAATCTGACGGTCACAGCTACACTTCTCTGGCAACACTGTCTAAAAGCGGCTTAATAAAGAAAATACTCTTACTCTAAAGGTTTCTTTGAATTATATTTGTAGGAAAATCTTCAAATAATTGAATTCTTCGATTCATTTCGCATTTAGGATAAAATTCAAATATACATATGAAAAAAATTAGAAAATCAATTGCAGATTAAATACGTGTGAAAATATATTATGCTTGTCGTAAACTTAATAATGGTAGGCCTATCTAAGACATAAGTACAGTCGGGGAACATCTCGGTGTACGACTTACAGAATAATTACCTATTTCCTTGCAACGAGACAAACACTGTCTTACAAATATAAATAGGAAAGATTTGTATTTTTGTACATATTGTAATAACTCAAAAACTGTGCCGATTTCAAAAAAACTTGCATCATTAAAAAGCTACGTTATCACTGAGTAACATATTTTTTTACATTTTAAAAATTAACCGTGTACTGACAAAACTCAATTATAGCTTCAAGTTGGGTCACCGTCGAATTCCCTGACTGTACTATTGTTTAAAGAAAAATGTATATATTCTTATAAACAAACAAAAGATTTACTTACGTAAAAAAGAGTAAATAAAAGAAAAAAGTCACATTGCATGAAACATTTCAAAGAAATATTTTAATTTACAAAGAGATCGTAAATACTAATCGATTACGAACACTAGATAAGCGGAACTTATTGTTCGAAACTTTAACTTAAATCAAGTTATCTTCACACACCTTATAACTTAAGTGAGCATCTCACGTAGCTATTTTATGTTATAGACATAGATATACAATCTATAGATATTTTGTCATTCCATCTATGTTTTTTTATGTACTGAAATAAATCAAAAACCACAACCGATTTGAAAAATTCTTTTATCATGAAAAAGCTACGTTATCAGTGAATAACATAGGTTATATATTTTTAATTTCACGCGGACGAAGTCGTGTGCAACAGTTAGTTATTAATGACTAAATGACTCGAAATTCGATTCAATAATAAACGTCAAATTGTTAGGAACACTTCATCTATAGTTTATATATCTACGTTTTTAGATATGTTGCGGAAACAACCTGAACCAGAAATATAAAAATCCTTGCCATATAGCGGAAAAATACCACTTCATTACGTCATATTTGACAGCTGTCAATTTTAAATTCATAGTGCGTCGACTTGCTTAGAAAAATCGATTAAAGAATCGATACGAGCTTCAAACATGAATGGAATAAATGTGAAAAATGTTTTTCGTGAGTTTTTGTAACCTTAGTGTTTAAAATAAAAAAAAAACATACAGACGAATTGAGTACCTCTTTTGGGATGTCGATCAAAAAGAGAAATATATTTTCACATTCGATTGACATTACCATAATAAGTCAATCGAAATTAAAAAAGTAACAGTTTCGTAGTTTTTGAAAATTTTGGTTAAAAGTGTCAAATATAACATTTGACCATTCTATGATTATTTTGCATACATAAGGAAGTGTACATAATAGCCAAAACACTAAAAACCATACGAATATTAGTGAAAATTTCACTTATACTCAGTTTATTCCTAAGTTTAACTTTAAGGCTGTAGGAATTTTATATTATTGGTCAGGCTATACTTCAATATATTATATACTTTACTGTCAAAGGAACTTGAAGTGAGGACGGCGAAATAAAACATAGAAGTTATATACAGAAAGACATTCCCAAATTCAATCACCAATACATAAGATATATTGCTTTTTATCGAATTACCTTAATAACCATTTATTTTTCATAATTTATTTTCCTTAATATTAAAAACAAAAAACTTCGTAATCTATGACTCGTATTTGAGTTTGTATTTCTTTGATGCTTTAACAAATATACAGTACAGATGATCCAATAAAAAATTTAGATTTAACTAAAGCGTTCGATATTGTCAATTATAATATTTTAATATACAAATATAAATAAAACACATTAAAGTACACTAATTGTACTGAATTATACCTTTTTTATAATTTAAATGCAATACATGTTAATAAAATAAACACAAGGACCAATTTTCAAGTAAAATTCGCGTGACTCCCTCAAGGGACCATCTTTGGCCCACATTTTTTTTAATACCATGAATATGTTTTTATGCAATAACTAAAAAGTAGTTTAATAGTTTACTGGATCAACTGTACTTTATAAATTCACTAAAATAAAATTAAAACATTGTTCAACTCTTATGATAGTAACTGTGTGCGATAATGAAATTTAATATAGTTATATATTTTCTTAATATGATTGATATTTCATAAAATAATAAGAGGAATGACTCAATTTTCATAGTTATGTGGATATGTCATTATACAAGTTAGGTGCATGCACCAGTTTCCGTTCTCCAGATCGATATCATCTTTTATCTCAATTTCCTTCTTAATATAGGAAAATGTATACTGTTAAAATATTTTTTTTTTAAAGGAAAACTATTCATAAGAATTTCTTTTAAAAATTAGCATGTTAATGATACGAGAATTACTTTAAAATCACTCATTTAATGTCTTTTATTTGCGAAACCACACAAACTATCTTATCCCAATCGATTAGAGTTCAAAATCGCACACAGTTTTCAATAAAACTAATTCACTTTAACTTTGCCTGTTACAAATTTAGCATATTCTTCATAAAACTTTGGGAACATTTGTATAGCGAAGTAAACTACGCTTAGATATGCTACTATCGCTAGAGTTAAGATGAGATCGAAAACTGCAGGTTTGACGCTAAAATAAAAGGAACATGTTAGAAAATATGAATTTTTCCTTATAACTAAAGGGTATGTACGCTAAAATAAAACTAAGAGCCAGAATTTTTTATATAAAAACTCTGAAACTACGACACTATAGACTGTATTACAAATTTTCATTAGATAACGGACAAATCCTTGCCAATAACAGTTAAGAAGCAAGATTACCGGTAATTGTTATCCAATAGCAAAGGCCTTCATTATTGGTTTGAATTTTAACATTTAAATAAAAGTTTTAAATTTTTTTCGAACAGCAATATTATAAATGTGAAAGTTTAGATGGATGGATGTTTGTTAGAGTTTGTAGCCTAAACGACTCAACGGATATCGATGAAATTTGGTATAGATTTAGACGATAATCTGGAAGAACACATAGACTACTCACTTTTGTTTTTTTTTAATTCACACGGACGGAGTCGCGGGCGAAAGCTAGTAATACAAAGGGGAAAGATTTCTACGTTTATATGTGTTGAAATAACTCCAAAACTACTGGTCCGATTTCAAAAATTCTTTCACCATTAAAAAGCTAAGTTATCAGTGAGTAACATAGGCTATATTTTATTAATTTGTCACAATAGTACATTATTCTACTGACCTGTAGACGTAGAGCTGCGCGGCGAGCGGCGCGTACAGCACGTACTCCGGCTCGCGCTTGTCTATGGCGTGTACGCTCAGCGTCACGTCCACGTAGCGGGACAGCGCCCGCTCCAGCGCGCCAGTCACACCTGACATACCAGTAATGTTTGTCACCTCAACTGGCATAATCCCCGGTTCACACTTGGCCAGTACAGTTGAACACCATAACTGGGATAATACCCGGTGCACACTAAACCAACACAGTTGGACAGTTGCAACGATATAGACTGTATGGAATCACTGACACCATTTAGCGTTCACACTAAGCCTGCAACGACGGATCGAGGGGGGGGGGTTAATAGGGGTCATGACCCCCCCCCCTAGCGCCAAACCTGGATCCGTTCTTGTATGCTTGGTTGCCAGTTCAGTTATTGAGCGCCACTGACCAACTGTACTAGCAAAGTGCAAACCAGGAAAAGGTGCAAGCCAAAATGTGAACGGTAATTGGCGAAATAAAACCATGCCATAAGACATTAATCGCAACAATAGAAAAGAAATAAATAGTAAAAAAAGCTGACTTGGAAAGACTGATAATTTTAAAATAATAATTGATTAAAGAGTGAAATGTAGTATCGAAGTATAACGGTTCTTGTACTGCCTACACTTCTGGATTACGGGTGTTAGTTATTTATATATACCTGTATTCGGTGGTATCGTGGTGATGATGTGCGGCGCCCGCGGCTGCGACGACAAGTACTCGTACCAGTGCTTGACTGCTGCCTCGTCTACACCCTACAGAAACAACATATTAAAAAAACGTCATATAATATCTATTACAAAACAATAAAAACCATATTAAAGAAATGATTAACAGTTTTAATTCCACGCGTACGGATTCATTCAAGTCATTTGTGTCGAAATATCTAACATTATGTATATATATTTTAATATGTTTTGTTAAATAAATATAAAAGGAAGTAAAAGTGTATAGTTACCAAAGCCTCGTCATACAAAGCTGCATCCTCATCATTGAGTTCATCCGTGAGGTTGTATATGTGCGAGGCGAGCGCGCGCGCCGTCACCACGATGTTGGACACCAGCTGCTTCAGAGACTCCTCGGAGGAGGTGTCCAGGATACTGCTGCGACCTACCTCTTTGTGACTCTGAGGAAGTTCACTTGTAGGTCAACTATAGGTACATTTACCTAAATGTTCGAATTACGGAATTCTTTCAATCATCTTACTATTAAAAATACGATGTTCGTCAGTTTGTAGTCTAAACTGAACGGATATCGATGAAATTTGGTTTATGTAGAGGATAGTCTGAAACTCCAATATGTATTATTTATTAAAGATTACATCATCCACTTGCCCTCATCCCTTACGGAGGGTCGGCACAGTATTTGCTGCTCTTCCATACATCTCTATCAGCCGTCATATCAAAATGACATGACAAACCTTGACAACCTTTTTTTTTTTTTTTTTATAACATAAGGTGGCAAACGAGCAAGCGGCCACCTCAATCCGAAGCGACCGCTGCCCATAGACATCCGCAATTGCAGATGCGTTGCCTACCCTTATCCCACGGAGGAGGAGACAGAGGACATTTCCCCTTCCTATGCATATCCTCCACCGTCAAATCCACTTCCTCTTCCCATCCTCTTCTTCTAATAAAAGGGTGGTAAAGAGAAAGGGACTAAAATTAGGCCTCCGGCACCACACTCATCAGACGAAACACGGAATTGCTTCCATTTCACGCCTGCCTTCTGTGTGGTCGTGGTATTACACCGGGCGTGCCGGCCCATTCGTGCTAAGATGTTAAAGCGGGCACTACCACTGTTACAACTTTGCTTCCTTGATGTTGGCAGCAACTTATGGTCTCTCTCCCACATTAGGGTTTTTATCCAAAATATTTATCCCCAAAAAATGGCGTGAAAATATATAGCCTAAAGCGTGACGTAAGTGTTGGGCTTTTATTTAAAAAAATAATTATTGAAAAATAAGCTGTAATTGCTGACATCTTAGGCAACAAAGTGTGTGTTTACGCTTTATTATAATAGTATAGATATGAAGCCCATACCTGCAGTGAGCTGAGCGTGAAGGCGGTCATCCTCCGGATGCTGAAGCGCTCGTGGTGCCAGGCCAGCAGCTCGTCCGCGAGGTTGATCTTCTTGTGCACGAGCGGCGCGCGCAGCCGCGCCTGCAGCGAGTGCGCGGCGCCGCCCGCGCGCGGCGGCTTCGACACGTGCAGCCTCAACCCCGCCGAAGATATAGAGTCCAGGCACAGGACGAAAGAAACATCCTGGAATTCATATATACATATATGTAATGAAAAAATATTGAAAAATGTTAAATTGCGTAAATTATAAGAATAATATAATAAGAAAATAAGTGAATATCTTTATTGCACACGAAGGATAATAGGCAATATGCATATGACGCCAAATTGTACCAAACTTTTTTTAAGTATACTTTATTACTATAAAAACATTCCTGCGAAGATTTTTTTTAATATAATGTGATTTAGTGGCAAAAATTATTAATTAAAAAGTGTCTTTTTTCAAATTCCCTCGCTAAGTATACAATAGTGTGCGTTTTAAAACGACCAATAGTGTGCGTTTTAGAACTTATTCTAAAACGCACACTATTGGTCGCAGCAAGTGGCTTATCTAATATGGCGTCGCTGTGTTGACAATACACAATTCATTTACGTTAGTTTATATAGAAATACACTCTTGAAGTATTTTACTGTAAACACGATATCAAAAACAACTTTAAAATAAGAAATTAATGAATAGAATTATTAATTACCTCTTATTTGTACCAGGAATAATAAAAATGAATCGATTTTTGACTTTTTGACCTTGAGATACTTTGTTGTTTTTTACATCGAAGTGACATCTGAGCGTGTGTTATGAATAGAATAAGACGATTGACGTCAATTGTCTCATGTCAACTCTGGTCGCGTTTTAGTCGCTCGAAAATGGGCATTCCTTCGTACCTAACTTTGCATTAATTATTTTAAATGCAAAAGTTTGGTTGGATGTTTTTTTACCACATATATCCAAAAACTGCGTAACGTAGTACAATATGCTAATAATTATTTTTTAGCAGGAACAAATTCACTGGCAAAAGTTAATCTTATATTACACAATTTCTTTTATTCAATCACAATGTTATATACTAGCTATTGCTCGCGACTATGTCCATGTGGAGTTAAAAAATAGTAAAAAACATAGCCTATGTTACTCATTGATAGCCTTTTAGTAATAAAAGAATTTTTGAAATCTGCCCAGTAGTTTTTAAATTATTTCAATACATACAAAAAACCATATAGCAAGATAGAAGAAGACCAGTAAAACAACAATAATTTGGGTAAATTTAAATTTTCCTGCAACTTACTTGTAACAAAGATGCATCGGTGGCATCCAATTGTTCTTCAAGCCATTTTTTTGTAGAGAAATAATTCAGTGAATGGCCCACAGAAGTCAGCATGAACAATAATGAAGGTCCACCTCGTACTGCCGCACTCGAATACAAACGAGAGAAGATTCTAGCTAGTTCTAGAACTGCTACTGCTCCTGATGCATTTGAATCCGCACCTTGAGCTAATTCCTGTTAAAAACAAAAAAAAAAACAACCTATAATAAAAATATATTGAATCTTAAATCTAGTAGCTTAAGTAAATAGGTTGAAATATATAGCTAGCTGTTCCCGTGCGACTTCATCCGCATAAAATTATTTTATTTTATTGTTTACATGTGTCAAATTATCAATAGCAAATGTCAAATTGACATGACATGACAAACCATGTCAATCTTGTTTCCTTGATGTTGGCAGCAACTTATGGTCTCTTTACCCCTTAAGTTTATTGGCGTGAAAATATATAGCCTAAAGCGTGACGTAAATGTAGGTCTGTTTATTAAAAAAAAGAATTATTCAAAAACATGTAATTGCTGATATCTTAGGCAACAAAGAAGTGTGTGTTTACGCTTTATTATAATATAGATATATAAATAATATAGAATATAGATAGATATAGATATCAATAGATAAGTATAGAGTATAGATAGAAGATCATAAGTGTAAGTGTGGGGCTTATTATTAAAAAATAAGCTGTGATTGCCGACCTCCTACATAACAAATATCTGTGTTTACACTTTCGTGTATTAGTATAGAAAGATAAAGTCTTACAGGTACAAGTCCTGCTGCATCATAATGTGCTGCAATCACAATAGTCTGCGCTGCCGACTTGCCCATCAGCTTGCCGTGCAGTGTCACCGGCTTCGACTCCAACTTCTGTGGAGTTGGAGCTGATACCACTGGAGACATCATTTACTAATTAATACATACAATTTAAATTCTTAATACATTATTATAAGCATTAAAATATAAGTTAATGTAATAAAAAAACGACTATTATACTAAACCCTTATTTTTGACTATGAAATTTTTTTTTATAACATAAGGTGGCAAACCGCAAGCGGCCACCTGAATCCATCGAAATGGAAAGCGACCGCTGCCCATAAACATCCGCAATTGCAGATGCGTTGCCTACCCTTAATTGACGGAGAAGGATACCCACAAAAAGACATTTCTCTTTCCTATGCGTCTCTTCCACCGTCAAATCCATTTTTCCTTCCCATCCTTTCCTCTTAGGCCTCCGGCACCACACTCATCAGACGAAACGCGGAATTGCACTTCACACCTGTGTTCTGTGTGGTCGTGGTATTACACCGGGCGAACTGACCCATTCATGCGAAGATGTTAAAACAGGGTCTACCACTGTTAAAATGTTTTTAATTTATTTGAGGAATGCTTTCTATAATGGCATAGTCAATTTTATTTGATAGCATTTCTGCCTTTATTAAATTAAACATTACTATAGTTAAGTACCATATTGCCAATGATTGGGATTACCCAAAAGGTTCGCTACCCTATGCCAATATTGTATAGTAAATAATCCAAGCAATAGTTTCACGTATAATGTCGCCATATATTTGAGAAGTATTTACTTTCTTATGGGAATTTAGTAGTAATCGGATATTTTTAAGATATTTATAAAACTCTTGCTTTTATTGTCACTTTGATAATCATTACTAATGATTTAAAAAGGAAAGGTTTATATTTTTGCATTTATTAAACAACAAAACACTGTCATAGTTTTGCCAAATAAATTGCAACAACTATATACAATCTGCTGCTCATTTGCTCTACAGTATAAAAAAAACACTTACCGATTTGATATCCATTTGAAGAGACTGTATTAAACATTGCCTCTAAAGCAGTGCCAGATTTTTCATCAGTTATAAAACTGTGCTGCAGATCGTCTAGGATTTCCTCAAACTCAGGGGACCATTTAGCAAAGTAAACAGGAGCTAACATTTCTTGTTGAACCATCGCCATTTCCAGGAGTTGGATGTGCTGGAAATACATGCCAAGATATGCGTTAATTAACAAAACACAACATACTAAAATTGTGAATATCTATAGGCAGCGATGGGCACTTGTTTCCCTCTTTATATTTAAAAAAATTGACAAGGAAGGACATAACAAAGTCCAAAGACAAAAACATGTAATAAAACAATATTATTATTAAGATTTTTTTAAACACAACACAGGCTTCAATTAATAACTTCTGTTTGTATTTTATCATAAAGTGACAATTATGCAAGCAGCCACTTAAATTTGTTGAAATAGCAAAGCTATTGTTGCCCATAGACAACAGATCAGAGAGAAATTGGACTTCTAGTACTCCAATACATACATTGACAAAAAGTAGAATTTCTTTTATACACATACATCTATATACATACATTAACTATTAAATCTTTTAATTAAAATAAAACATTTCACAGAAACCTTACCTCTTTTTGTTCATCTGTCAGTTCAGTATTATTTTTAGGCAGCACCAGCAAGAGGGCCGGAGATTTACTCCTTATTTCCACAAACTGTTCAATAGTGATGTCCTGTAGGCGAGCCACCACACAGTGTCGTGCCGTGCTCCATGACGACAGCGACCGACCCTCTAGATTGAAGCTAGCACTTCGACAACCTAATAAATACAGATAATAAGTAAAACTAACACAGTTAGGGCTATTATATCATAATTATAAAAGGCAACTTGTCAGGTGGATAGGTGGTAATAAATATGTCAAAAGTGTATGCAAAATAATTGACAAAATATGTTTTATTCATTTTATATATGTGATATCAAGCCTACTATACCAGTCAAACTATACTATTGTTAAGAATTGACAATTAAAACTATGCAGTTGAAACTGAAGTGTAGGAGGCTTAAATATTTTTAGAGTTAAGGTTTTCTTATACATAAGCTTCATTAAAATGTAAAAATAATAAACTTGTGACCTACAGAGTCATTGAATCATAAAAGATTAAGGTAATTGAGAATGTCACACAATTTTATACATATGGCTTCCTACCAATAAGAAGATTAGTTTCATGTTAAATATTGATAACTGGCAACTTCAGTAATAAGTGCTAAATTACATATTTTTATGCTAGCAACCCAATGGTGACATCAAAAAGCCATGAGTAGCTCCAATAAAATTAATGACACCATAATAAGTCTTCATAGTTGAAACAAGACCTATTTCATGCATCATTTCAATTATTAGTACACTAGGTTTCGCCCGCAACTCTGTCCGCTTGGAATTAAAAAAACAAAAGTGAATAGCCTATGTGTTCTTCCAGACTACCCCCTATATCTATGCCAAATTTCATTGAAATCCATTGAGTTGTTTAGGCTACAAACTCGACAAACGTACATCCATCCATCTAAAGTTTCAAATTTATAGTATTAGTAAGAAGTAAGATTGAAAGGTCATAAACTCATCATCAACTTGCACTTTCCCCAGGGAGGGTTGGCACAGTATGTGCTGCTCTTATATACATCTGTATCAATCTTCATCTGAATTTACTACCTTCTTAAACATATTTTCTTTCATATCAATCCATACTTTCTTGTGTTCCTTTACCTTTGTAGTCATCTATTTTCAAACTTAATACTGACTTGGTTATGTTCTCATCATTAAAAAGTTAGTCATAAATAAAAAATCGATAAAATTGACAGTATGGGGGTTATTTTTTGACATATTCTTCGATGTTTTACAATTTTCGACTGAAAGATGACCTAAATATGAATGATAAAATATATCACATAGTAAATAAGGACATCTTGACATAAGATTAGGCGGTTTACATTGGGATTAAAAATATAACCTTATTTCATAGTTCGACGATTTTTAACAAATGATAAATTATAATTGTAATTATTTTTTAAACTCACCATGGGGTAAGGAGTGAAGGTCATATTGTTGCATTCTATATACAGAAAATTCATGTGATGCTGCCACTGGATTTACTGGAGACATGATAATAAATATGGGCAGAGCAACAAGCAAATAATAGGGTAAATAGCCCCTAAATATCTCTGCAAAACCATCCGCTTCGTCCAGCCACATTGTGGAGACTAATTTTTAAATTCTTTACACAATGTTAACTTAAAAATATATAATTTTATTAAATATAATCCAATTAGATACTCTACGTGTGATAAAACGGGTCAATGACATTAGCGTGACTTGACAGAGAATGATTGTCTATGCTTTTCGTTTCGTTCTTTACTTGAAACCTGCAAAAATAAATTATTTATTATGATTGTTTTTATATTATTTTTTTAAACGAAGTTTTCTATTTTTTTGTATCTCAGGTAAACTATTTCAAATTATAATATGCAAATCTAAAACTACATTAAGAAAAACTGTTGCCACTCTGCCTGAACTCTGAGAGGCAATATGAAGGCAAGTTACGGATGACGGCTTGACGGCCATCAATGTCAACGTCAAAGTCAAAGTGAACATTGTAATGTTGGTTAGGTTTTGGAACTTTCGAAATACTAAAAATTTTATATTTAATTAGTAGTATGCTCTGAAGAACACTTATTCAAAGGCTTTTAATTTGTCGGGCCCATATTTCACTATATATGTAACAACGAACAAAAATCAGTTAATAGTTTATACTAATAATAACAAATATCCAACCGCTTTCATCAAATTAGATAGAACATCGAATTTCAAAGATTTCATCATAAAAATGATCGAATTACATTTTAAATAAGCCACCTAAATTGATGGAAAAAAATTGAACGAAAAATTTTCCAAAGTAATTTTTCATGAAAGCCTTCAGCTGGCGGCGCACATTGGGCTGAATCAAGTTGCTCCATAGACAACTTTATCTGATGTTTGAAATGTCTCTTTTTTTGCTTAAATGTGCTTTGTATCAGTAAATGCATACCTTATAACGTTATATTTATCTTGTATCGATGTTTTTGGCGCAATTAGAACGTTTTCTCTGAAAATTTGTATGGAGTCTCCCTCAAAATTGGCGATAACTCAG